CATGCAACATGCAACATGCAACATGCAACATGCAACATGCAACATGCAACATGCAACATGCAATAAAACTGCTTCACCAACCTTTTCTGAAATAGCTGTATGTAATGTCAAAAGCTGAGCCATCGTACCTAGACAGAAAAGTACGCCCCTTTGAGGTTGGAGCTCAAGAAGCAGTTCCTACGGATTTCAAGTAAAATAGCATAACCTCATCATAGATGTGTCGGGCGGCTACTCCAAAGACCTCGAGAACACTGTCCGAATGTTGGAAGGAACAAGGAGCAAAGATGTGCTTCTCAAGATGCAAAAGGCATTTCTGTCAAACAGCAGGCTGCACATCGCGCGTCACTTTAAGATCATGACRTGGGAAAGTTGCGTTTGCGTTTTTACTACCCGTCAGACACACCGGCAGAGCTATTTTTAGTCATGCTTTTGTATATTTTACTATTTTGCTTTATTAATTGACCTTTTTTGACCATTATTATTTAAATTAGCTCTGTTAGGACATTGTATTCATCTCCATATTTGTTTTTGATTTTTTAAATTATACTTTCACATAGTCTTTAGCTTAACGCAATTCATAGCGCCCTAATGTGCTATTTGAGCTATTTCGAGTTCCGTCGTTTATATCTAACTGATATAATTGAATATACCTAAGAGGAGAAAGGAAGGCAATTACTAATTTGTTTATCAAAGGACACGCTTGCGTTATCAAAAGAAAGGCAGATGATGCATATGTTGCTTGCAATTCCGCAAGTAGTTTTGCATTGAATTCAACTGGGAACCCTYGAGTGTGTACACGGACGCACGAGCGTACGGACGGAAGTGACGTAATCAAGCCCACAAAAAATAACTCTATACACCGAATCGAAATATGACGACCAATTTAAATAACTATTGTTCTGCGCTGACAAGCGACTGACTAGCCTCGTGTTCACTTGGAAACATAAAAGCGTTTTCACACGTATGAGAGGCTAGTCAGTCGCTAGTCAGTGTTAATCAAAKTTATGTCGCCATATTTCGATTCGCTGTATGGGTTATCCATTTTTCTTTAAGTAAGTATATGAAGTTCCGCGATTAGTCTCTAATTCGAACTTAAAAAGACGTATTTGATGGGAATTTTCTTGTAATTCAGGAATTCCAGCTAGGAAACTGTGTGCAATATATAAAAGAATTTTTTTTTTCAGTCGACGGACTACAGGCAAAAGTGTCCAAATATACATATATATATTATCAGACATTCTAAGATGTAGTACGGGTTGATATTTTTTTCGATCGAGTCTGTTTGCTGTATTTATTTAAAAATACAAAGACGAGAAAAAATGTCCACTCGTATTCCACTYTCATGTGTCTAATATATTATTTATTATCCCACTGAGCTTACTTTTTCTTCAAAAGAAGGCTTCAAAACATGTATCTTAAAAAAAGGTTTTGAAAYGGGTTTTTTATTGTACAAAGAACGTGGCAACAAATATCGCAGGATAACGTCGTACTCGCTCCAGTCTTTCTCCTACATTATTTGAATAGTTGGATAATATAAGCCTATAAAGTTCAACTTCAAAGAACAAGAAACAAATTTATCAATGTGAAACGTAGCGATAACTTTCTTTGTCAGTCGGTAATTGAGCTTCGCAAAGTTCTTATTTTCTTTAGCTTATCATGAGTTTTTCAAGAACACGTCCCTCAATCAACGATACAAATATATAAGSTATAATATATAATAATATCCATCCATCCATCTCAATTTCAGTTAAAAAAAACTGTAATGCTTATTTTTTAAATTAAAATCTTTCATCACTACACTCGCGACTTAGTAATATAATCCTCTAATAGCCCATATAACTTTACTACATTAAAAAAGTCACAAGTTTCGTATCATAAACACTGAACCCTAGAGAAGAGCTGTTCCGAAAGAAGAGATAATAAGTATTGCTGCACTTCAGTCATCGTTGTTCTAATCGATTTCCGGTGTTTATTTGCTGTTAATGATTTGCACAAACAATCTTATGTATTAGCGTGTCATCTAAGCTTTGAAGTATTGATTCGGTCATGACCAGCATCCAATCACACTGTCCACCAYTCAGCRTTTAGCCTCGTTCAACTGGTCACACCACTTGTCTGTTGTTCACTATTGAGGGTTAAGCGATGGATGTCTACACAATCATCTTGCTTGTTCTAACTGTGTTCTCTTCAACATGTTCAGTATCGRCTCTCAAAAGGTAAGGTCTTGCTTTTGTACAATTAATCAAGGCTATTTTAATACGTAATGGTTAACCAGCYCTCGACTGCTTGATGTTGTTTGTACTTCAGGTCTGGCAAGGAGGCGAGGTTGTCCCTCAAAACAAGACACAAGGCACAATTAATGTTGGACTCCAGCAAAAAAATCAAACTCGGGGAAGTTTATCTGTCGGGTTTGGATGGACTTCGAGGAGAAAAGGTAAGACACCAGTCATTATACAATTAATCAATCATTATCAGTGCTATTTGGCTTTATCGTCTCGTATCTTGCACGTGCATCCAATGAACGATATTTGGTTCATTATACAGGACGTTGGAATGAMGTTTTTATTATCGAACTGTTTTACTGGGRTTGATTCTTACGAGAAACTTCGTTTTAGCGTAAACTGATATCGTTGTGTTTATGTTTAGTTTTTATTCCCAAGAAAAATATATGAAGTATGTGATAATCTTTTGTTGTCGACGAGTTTGTGTTGCATTGAAATGATTG